GGGGTGCATGTTAACTTCATGGGCCAATGCAGCTTAAGATCAGGAAAACAGTCCTGAAAAAAACACATCAGAGAACTGCTGCCCCTCCCTCCAGCTTAGATTTGCTAACCACTGCCTTCACTATATTTTAGACATGGTCTTATAAGCCTTTCTAATGTAAAAGTTCCAACGTCTGTTTGTAAGGATCTTTTTTGGGGGATTTATTGAAGCCTTTTAGGACCTGAACGTTCTCATATGTTCACAGTAGCATTTTATACTTTAGGGCTTGAGTCACCACCATGAGGTGCAAATAAACAACCTCACTTTGGACATTTTTGTGGCACAGCACTGAGATGAACTATGTAAAAATTTAGAAGCTTTGGATCACAATCAAAAGTGGCCATCCTCATTTATGCTAATTTGAATTAAAGCATTTGCACAACCAACATGCTCCCACCTGCTGCTTGTTATTCTTTTAATTGAAGCTAAATGCCCCCTTCCTTCTGCTTGCTTTAATAGCCAAATTGAGAGGATAAAAAAAACAACCAAACAACCAAAAGGACAACTACTAGAAAACAAGCAGTTTTCTAGTTTTAACCAAGACATTTTGTAGGGAGCAATCAAACCTGGTTCAACTAACAGAGCAATGCAAGTGGTGGCCTTTGGTGGAAGCAAGTCAAGCTAGGGGACTAATAGAGAGCACCAAGGGGTAAGCAACCTCTTACTCTGAATCCACTGATGCTAGCTTCCAACAGGAATTGTATTGGGTCTACACAGACCTCTGCTTCTCCAAAGGTCAACTGAAGACCTCAGTTGAAGACTAATCTGATCTGAATTACCCTACAGAAGAACCCATCTACTCAGTGACAGGACCCTAGGAGAATAGTGTCCTAACTTTAGTATCTACTCTAGATATTTAAAATTCAATGATATAAATATCCTCCAGCTACAGAAAATGTGCTTAGAGGCAATTATCCCTTTTGTCCTTCTCAACTTGTTATTACAAAAAGGCATAACTTGCTTCTGGTGCTTACAGGCATAGCATGCACAGCACAGGTATTTACAGATAGTGTCTGGAACTATTCCCTCTATTGCTGCTCTTCCACCTTTACAGAAATTAGTTTCTTTAAAAGGTAATGCCATAGGAGTTTCTCGTTACATTACTCAAACCCCTATTGCAGCAGAGAATGGAGTGTACTATTAAATCATAAATACAATGCAAGTATTTTGTTGCTGGTTATGTGATGGGGGGCAGGGAGAGAGACCTATTATGTTTAAATGAATCCAGGTGCTGGATTTAGGTATTTAAATGTGAAAGTCTGGAGATGCCCTTCCTTCTCATCTGCACATATAAATAAATGCGAGCAGGAAATTTCCCCAGGCAATTCACACACCTCACTTCCAGAGCTAGGCCAACCTCCACAACCCTCAACTCCACCATCTGCCTGGCAAGGACATGAATGCAAAATGCCACAAGATGCTGAAGAGCTGCAGTGGCTTTTTTATGTTCATTAACAAAATCCAGAAAGATCACCATCACACAGATTTCACCGTGACAGCTCAAGGGCACCTGTAATTGTCTGTATGCCAAAGTTAAATCAGAAAGTGCAAGGTCTCCCTGTGAACACATCAATCCCTGGTTATTTTAATTTACTTTTAGTAACTATTCCAAAATAACTTCAAGCATAGACTAGCCATTAGATTCCAAATCCTAACCAGGCCAGCTATTTTCTTTGTTCGTTTCAGAACACTGGGTATGTGCAAAAATCTGTGGCACTGCCCTAAAGAAAAATCTAGAGAGACCAAGATGTGATAAAAGGGAACCCACCTCTGATGGTGAGCAGAGACAACTCCTGACAATGGTAAAATAGTAAACATTCAAAAGATGGGAATTCACCACAATTATACACAGTACCTCCCTAAAACACTCAAACATCTCACTGTTTTGTAAACTTGGTCCTCTTTTTCACCTGAATTTGAACATATGTTCAAATGTGTCATGTTTGACACTATGAACAGGTAACTGCTATCCTCAGTTTCCAACAGAGTAAGCAGGAGTAACTGTCACCTAAACCATGGCAATCCCAATTCAGTGCAAGGTCTGCATAACCAAATTTTAAAGATATACAAACTAAACCATTCCTAGTGTATTATAGACAACTCAGTTTCTACCCAGAAACTACTGCCAGTGCCCAAGAATAGGGTTATTTTTCTTAGTCCTTGGTGTAACTTTCAGACTTTGGAGTGACAACCACACTCCCATAAAACAGTTGTGTGTTTTGTACGTTGCAGATCTGCATGTTGAAAACGTTATCACAATTTTATTCCAGTTAAGTTGTATCTAGATTTTCCTGCTAACTTAAACAGAGAGATACATTACTTCTCCCAAAATAACAAAAAAAGGAAATGCAGAAGATTCTTGGGTTTGTTCTCAACTTGCCAAATTCCTTATGACAGGTGTTCTTTCTTTTCCCCTCTTGCTACCTTCTTCAGCAATCAGTACAATGAAGCAAAGAAACCAACCACAGGCGTATTTCAGATGATAGAACAAAGAAGGGATCTTCTGGAGATCTCCTCTGGAGATCATCTAGTCCAGCCTCCACCAGCTCAAGCAGTCAATGCCCAGGATGATGAGTATCTCCAAGGACGGAGACTCCACAAGCTCTCTAGGCAACCTGTGCCACAGAATGTGTCATCTTGTGTTTCAGTTTGTGCTCATTGCCTCTTGTCCTGCTCAGGGGCATCACTGAGAACAATCCGGCTCCCTCTTCTTCATTCTTTCCTTCCATCAGGTATTCCAATACATTGATCAGATTTCCCTCGAACCTTCTCCAGAGACTTTACCATTTTTAGCCCCAAACTGCAGTTTGTCCTCAGAAAAGGACCCATTGCAAAAAATCTGAGCAATTGTCTTACATGTATCTGTGTGTACATGTGTGAAATAGTTTTAATAAAAAACAAAAAACATGAATTCACAGTGGTAGGCAAAGAAAAAAAAATTTTTATGTAGTTGAAACAGAGACATTCTGACTTACTGCACAAACATGTACATGAAAGGTCAATATTAAGAGCATCTAAATGGTAAATCTTGATTTAGAAGTATGAGCATGTGATACTATGTGGAAAGCTGTGTTTCTGGGAAAGGTAGAGCTGAAGAGCTGATCTAGAACAAGGCACTTATTTTCCTCACATCTATAAATAGCTCTGGCTACCCTTCCATGAGTTTCCCAATAAATCTGAATAAGTTCCCTTTTTTCTTTCCTCAACCTTCTTGACATTTACATTTCTTCAGAATCTAGGGAAAATGAGTTTTCAAATAGTTGAGGGTATTTTTATTCTTTTATTATTAGAAAAGGTGAACAAAACATGCAACAGAAAAACTTAATTCCTCACAATGGATGCCCTTCAGTTTAGGACATCCGTCCTAACTCTGTGCCATTTACCAACCTTAAGTGAAAACAAGACGAGGAAAAACCAGAGCTATGTAACTCAAACAAAAGTATTTAGTCCATTAGTTGTAAAGGAAAATCTCACCACTGCCTCCCATTACAGAGGCTGAATCTTCTTATTGAGACTCTTCCCACTGATGCATTTCTCTGAAGTTCCTGAGGATCTCTAACATGCAGCACCCATTTCTCAGCCCTTCCAAATGTCACTTATCACAACTTGTCCTGTGCTAGTAACTTTTATTAAAGAGCACCTTCTTGCACTTCATTGTCAAGGCAGATATCTAAAAATCACAGAAATCATCATCTCAGTGAAGGACTAATGCCTTCATTTGGGGAAAAACACTGGCTGCATCTGACACAGCAAGTGCAGGTGCATTAAACCAGGGATTTCTAGTCCAGTAATTTCCAAAGCTACAACTTACAGAATCATTGTTTAAGAGCAATGAACATGTAAATAATCTATATAAAGCCGTTCTTATAGTCCTCATAATAAAATGCTACATTTTATTTAGTTTTTGTAAATTTAGCAGTCCTGCTGATGTGACATGGGAAATATATCCCAAAAGATGCAATAAGTACACACAGTAAGAACCAGGACTCAGCACACAATTTTTGCAAATGCACAGTGGGTGACATTTCTGATGACAGTAGAGCAGTTAAACTACTCAGTCTTAATTATAGCAATATGAAAGATTATCAAAATAGTGGCAATACATTAATTATGTTTGCCTGTTCAAGCATTTACAGAACTATACATACAGCCAGTTAGGTATATGAGATTTTGGAAAAGGAAAAGAGGATGCATTTCCAAAAAAACCCAAGCCCAAAAGCCAAATAAACTGATAACATAAAACAAATTATATACCACAGGTATTAGCAAGGGGCAGAAGCAGATCCTGGCATTAAGAATACCCCTCAAGGGTTCCTCCTCAGAATTTCTGGGGATTTTTGGTTCTCTCTGGATGGAATTTGGAGGGTTTGAAGGCTTAAGGATGGATGTTGTTTCAGTCTTGTTTTTCAAGACAGATAGTACAGCACTGGATGGAATTAATCTCAGTTTAGTATCTAACCTGAGCTAAATCACAGCTTCCACAGTCTCCAGAGAGGCTCTCTAGAACATGATTCATTCTACTTTCCTGAAATGTCTGCCTTAGGAGATTAATAACTCTCCAAAGGTGCCCAGATTCCTCCCTTGAAGTAGATGTCTAACTTTCAGAGAATTACATTCAGGGAGATGAATTCTACTCACTGTGTACCATGATTCCTGGACATATATCTGGGGAACTTAGCATAAGAGCTCTAAGGAAACACAAAGGTTTTGGGAGGTTTTGTTGTTTGTTCACTTGTGGTTTTTTGTCTGAAACTTGGGCCTCCAAGTACATGGGGGATTATAAGGCCCAAACTCCCATGCAAAATTGTTCTATACAAGTCATGCTCACTAATGGACTTAATCAGGTGTATAACTTAAAGAACAGAAACCCCATCCATTTCATAGAGCTATGCAGCCAGACAGCTCAAAACTATGAACACAAGTACACTACTGAATTAAAGACTTGAAGAGTTAAGAAGATGGTTTAAACGGTAAAGTTATCATACCAGTTTTTGTGTTTTATTATTTATTTTATTGTTAAATTACCCAAGGAATTACATCTTTACCAACAGCCATCCCACGTCAATTTCATACAGGGGGTATGGAAGACCCCTTTAGCTTAAAAACAGGAGCAGTTCAGAGTACACCCCTTTTTTTGGACATGCTAGCCATTTTTTTTAACATTTGTTGCCCAAGCATATCTTTTACAAAGCTTCAAAAGACAGATAACCAAACAACAGGATTAAAAAAAGGAATATCCTTAACAGCAGAATTTAGATAACATGACTGAGGTACAGACTAGTGATGGAGATGAGACCCAATTCAAGAGTAATTAAATTCCTCCAGTGAAGGAATTGACATCATTCATTTTGGATTAAATGAAAGCAGAACATAAGTTTCCCTCTATGTGACTGCTTTGCAAGGAGACAGTCCACAGTAGTTATCAGACTTTGCATTCACTCTTCATACCCTGTAACCCCTTTCACGAGCAGACAAACCAAAAGGCACTTTGGCAAAGCAACACTGGAAATTCAGCACATCTGTCCAGGCTTTTCCTGCTGCATGGTAGAGATGAACTCAGTCTCCAGGTAGAGTAAAGCAATAGTTGAAAGCAGAACTGCTATGAAACACCCTTTTTCTATTACACTCACTTTACAAAAGTAATTCCTACATGAAAAACTCTGAGATTTATACATATATGTTTACGTATGTACACATATCCAAAAGAATTCATATAAACACACAAACGTGTGTATATATATAATTTATGCATACATATACATAAATAAATAGACACACTTAAGTATAAGATAGCAGAACTAAAGAGACAGTGGCCTATTCTTGCTTCTCTGAGACATACAGGGAAGGTCTAAGAGCAAGCTGTTTTCTTTAACCTACAAGTATTACAAATGTCAAGTCTGGTCTAACTTTGTTTTGCTGGAAGACTTCTTGGACTTATAAGGCCATAGCTAAAAGAGCTTCTCACTCTCTGATTGAAGGCTGAAGACTACAACTATAGATGGAAGTCATTCCCAATCACTTCTCTGCTCTTTGAATTAATTATATGTCAGTAATAGCCAAATTTTAAACAATCCAAATAAAAAGTCAACTTCAATTTATCTTCCAAGTGACAATAGAGAATTCCTGAAAAAAATATTTTCCAACAGAACATGCAACATAAGAAAGAAAAAATCTTCCAGTGTGAACAAAATTTCAATTTAAACCTTCTTTACCTAAAAAGCAACAGAGAATGAAATTCTTTACACGTATGTGATTACAAAAACACTTATTTGATTCAGTGATGAGAAAAACTCTATTATCTACCAAGTTTACCAGTTTGAAGGCACAATGGCTATCACTTCATCCACATCCCACTCTGTTTACAGTGAAAAACAAAACAGATCTCTATAGAAGAAAAAGGATATAAACACAGAATAACCCCTGAGAAGTGAAATTTTACAACAAATATATTTGTTTTGAACTCTGTTCTTTGTAAACTCCCATTATCTGTACCTGTGTTCTTATGTAACTAGAATAATAATGTTTAATAATTACAATGACAAATATAGACTAAAAAAAGTTACAAGTTCACAGAAAACAAATTAACCCAAACATGATTGAGAGAAATGAGGTCTCACAGAGAACCATACAAAAGCTTCATCTTTCAGTACGGAAAAAAAGGCAAATCAATTTAAAGTTCTCTGACAATGCTCAGATTTCTAAAGAAGAAAAAAAATGGAATGGCATAAACTAGTTGGAAATCCCATAGTGCCATCTGTGTGGAGGGAAAAAAATCAAAAAGCCAACTGTGCATGCCCTTCTTTGGATCTGGAATTCCCGAGAGATTCAGCAAAATTTAAAAATCTGAAGAACTAGGTCTTTCAATAAAATCAGATAAATGTTCTGTAGCTGTTTCACGACATGGTTTATAAAGTATTGGCACCAGCACAAAGAGTTCAAAGCAGTCATTCAGAAGTCACAGAGATTTTTAGAGATTGTCAGATTTTTAACGATTTGCAGCAGTCCTCTAGTAGCAGTTGGTTATTTACTGCATGAACTGAAGTGTTCTTTGTCACTGATCTTCAGTACAATACTGTACTTCTCTCAGACAAAGTATTTTTCCTCTTATTCCAGTAGGTAGCAAGTGCCATCAATACAAGAATAACAGAATCAGTATCAAAAGACAGCCTATATTTTATGGTCCATATGCATCAACAATGGCTAAAAAGGTAAAATTCTAAACCAAAGCTGTACAGAGCAACATACTCTAGCAGTGGTATTCAAAGAAAAAAAAGAGAAAAGCTTCATCCAAGGAAGTGCAAAAGGAAGAAACTTCCAGAAATTGTCCATCAACACATTTTTCCTTCTCCAGAGGTTAAGCAGTCTTAAAGAGAGTGCAATAGTATTTTGAGATACTCTCCTCTTGGAAAAACAAAACAAAACAAAAACCCAAACAAAAAAAATCCAGTAATAAAGTTTGGTAATTATAAAATCATCAAATTGTATTGCCCTTGTTTCAAACCCATTATATTTTCATTGCTGTTTTACTGAACACAGATGCTTGTTTTTACACCTGACAGTAGATTTGATGCCAGTGAAAGGACAGTTGCTAACACATTACCCTAAGTTCTACTTCTAAGTCCTATTGTACTCTGCACAATAACCAGACGTATCACAAATAAAGTCTTGACCATGACAGAAATTTGAAAAGAAAACTACCCAGAGTTTTCTACACATCACCAGTTACAACATTAAGTACTTGGCTTAAACTTTGTATCTCAATACCAAGAAGCAGCTGTCAATTTTATCTTTCATTTCTGCTCTAAATTCAGGTGGTCCAGGTTCTTTCTTGCATTTATCTGTTGTGCTGCTTAGGCTGGACTGTGAAGCATCCCTACATCTATTTCAGGTGAAGCAAGGGAGAAAACTCTATCAGATACAATTCACTGCCAAAACTCAAAGAAGACAAAGTGCTTTTTCTATCTGTTCTTATACACACTTAAACTGGTTTTCAAATAACTAATTACAGGCCAGATGATAAAATCTTATGCTGCAGGTCAAACTAGAATGCTACAATATCTGTGTATGTATATACAAATACATATGGATACATTTATATATACACACACACACATGAAAAGGAAGCACCCATATTTTCCTTACTGATAAATATTGAACTTCTGCTTTCACCTGGATATTAACACAGTGTATTGTGTATAACACCCTGTGAAGGGACATTGAAGAAGACATTCATTTGCTTCTCATTAAAGCCAGACATATGGCTAGTATTTAAAAACATGCAGCGCCACCAATTAACAGAACAAAATAATTCTTAGGTACAATAGCAACTTAAAGAAACATAATACATTTAAATGTATTTTACCCATCTGTGTAGATAATTAATAGTTTCCACTATTTTATGCAGATTTATATTCTCCTTAAAAAAAAATCAGCGCAAATTTACAGGAAAACAACTCTGTCAAACGAGTTCCACAGCAGCATATGTAGGGAGTCACTGGGTGAAACTCTTTTTTATGAACACATTAGGAAAGTTGGCATTCAGTTCTAGCACAACTCTATTATCGATCTGTGAACAGAAGGACACGTCGAGTAAAGAAAGATCTTTACAAGACTCCAGCAATTTTCTTAAAGATGCAGGGCTCACCATCCTCGTTCCTGTGCAAAAACAAAACAAAACAGAATTGTAAAGTTACCAAGAAAAGTGCAGGATTTTAAGCTGTTACTATCATGCCATGAAAAAATGCTCCTACAACACAACTTTTATCCAGATTATTTAAATGAGTTTTCAAATTAAAAGCTTCTTAGAGAGCACACAGACCTTTTACCTTTAAAAAGCCTAATGTATTTTCTTTAACTGTTTAAGTCACTGTCATTTCCTATTGGGGGGCAACTTTACAACTTCAAGGGGAATCTCTTACTAGAGAAGCCAGGCACCCAGAGCCACAAGCCCTCCCAGGGACCAATGCTGGGCTTAGGCAGCAGCACGGAAGGCTACAGCCATGCTCTCCTGCTGAGCACACAGACCATCAGCACAGCAGATGAGTGACTGGGGGCTATTCCAATTCCAAAGGCATCAGCAAGGCTCCCAGGGCTCAGAGCAAGAGTGGGTATTACACACATGCAAGGGCAGTTATTCAAGAGACTGCTGATCATACAGAAATGTATGTATAAAACACAGATAAACCCTGCCAAAAACAAGACCACAGTGACTGAACTCCCAAGTGTCACACAGGGTCAGAGCAAGCATAGGAGTCAGTCAGAAATAAATAAATAAATCTACATTTATAAGCACAAATCCACACATCCATTACAGCTGATGGACATGCAGACAGCCCAGCCCATGGTGTTTAGCACCTGGCCCATCTGACTGGGCTCTGGGCTGTGAGTCAGCTGTCTGAGGCGCTCAGTGCCCCCTGGGGACCTTACACCGTGCAGGACATGCACACACAGCTGGCACACAGGACACTGGACCCAGAGGAGGAGACTCATGGCTTACAGGAAAGGCTGGAAGCCTGGCTGGGTACTCTGGGCAAGTGAACAGAGCCTGGGTGTCTACAGTGAGCTAAACTGCTCATCAAGCTTTCCCTCTAGAGAGTTTATATATCCAACACTACTGCAGAAAACTGCAGGCAGACTTGAACTCACACAGCTCCATCTTCATCTAACTAGCACCCCAAAAAGCCATCTAGTTCAGGATCTTGTCTAGTGCCAGGGCCAATTATGTTCCCTACACTCCTTACGTCCCCTGCAAAAAAAGCAGATTTTTTTACAGTAGATTTTCACTGGTGAATCTTGTCAATTGCCAAAAATTATAATTTTAGGGTTACTAAAGCTATCTTTCATGAATTCTACTACTTCTTTGAATTTCTTCATATTTACAGCCCCTTCACAAGTTCCACAGTTTAACTACATAATGTCAAAAAAAAAAGGAGAAAAAACAAACAAAAAAACTCCAGCCTATTAGCTGCAATAATTAAGGTGCAATTAAAGAAGCATGAGATCATTCCCAATTCACTATTTCTAAATCATGCATACTCCCATGCACATCTCTTCTGTTCCCTCAAGGCCATCTGTTTTCTAGACTCTCTTGCATCTCAAAATGACCCCTGTTGTGCTGTTTCTACACTAATTTTGTACTTTTGAAACTGGATGACCACAATAATACAGTGCACTGAGCACACAGTCAGTAATTGTATAGTAAGTCTTATGGTGTTTTTTCCATCTCATGTCTAAATAACCCAAATTTTCTCTATTCCCATTAGAATGATGCTGGGCAATGAGCTGATGTTTTCCAAAAATTGTCCACAGGATCTCTTTCCTACAAAATAGAAGCTAATATAAATCCAGTCCCCTATATATGTAGTTGATGTTATTTTGCCTTATGTGACTACTTTGTACTTGATTCAATGTTTTCTTCTGCTTTATCACCTGTTTAATAAGTATCACAAGATCATTCTGCCATTCTTCAGTGTTAAATTCCTCAGTTTAGGATTTTAAGATTTTTCCATCCTGAATACCTGTGTGTTACCCTCTGGTATTATTCACCCCTCTGCCTGGATTACTTATAAGCAGATCAGAACAGACCCTTGGTGACATAACTTCACTGTGAAAAGAGATGATACATTCTTGTCCTCTGAAACACTCATAAACCAGGAAAAGACAGCTGAGTTACAAAAGCAGCACAACCTTGGCTGAAGTGTGTGAAAATCCAATCTTCTATGGATTGCAGTAGGGCTCACATTCACCAAGAACTTCAAGGAAGTTTAAAGGATGAGAGGCAAAGCCAATACTACCCTTGCTGGGAAGCAGCTCTTCATCTAAATATGGTAATGTCCTCGGTATGCCCACTGACTGACCTTCTCATGGCTGCCACTGGTTTACACAGAGAAAAAGACGATTTTACTGTTTTGTAGCTCCTAATCCAAGCCCTTTACAGAAGGCTGTGCCATGTTTGTAACCCTGCATTACTCTAGCACTGAGGCTGATTTAAGAGACAGATCACACACCAGAAATAAGATTTCCAGAGCCCTGTATTTGAGCTCATTTGGAATCACTGCATAAATACCATTTAGTCCTAACAATTTATTATTGTTCAATGTATTGATTTGTTCAAAAGCTTTCTGTATTGGCATTCCAATTTAAGGCAGCTTTCCAGGCTAATCTCCTGGAAAGAATGGCTCTGATGTAGCAGCCTGCTTGATCCCCTCTGCCATGGACCCCAAGGGACACAACAGCTCTGCTGCGATAGCCTTGTACTGGGGGGAGCCTTCACACCTGGACTGTCTGCTGAGCCCAGCCACTCCTGTGAGCTTGTAACACAGCTGAAATACAGTATCCTTCACCTCTAGCCAGGGGTTCCTTAGTACTTCATCCTGCCTTACTGTGATTTTGTTCCACTTTCTAGATTCATCTTCCTATTTTCATTCTCTGAATGGGATTCAATTTCAGAAAGACTCTGGATGGTTTCATTAGTCTCCAGTACTGTTCTGCATAAGCAAGGAGGCATCTGAATGTGGTCTCCAATTATCCTATGTCAGGCTCTCAGATTAGCTGCTTTGAGGCATTTTTGAACATCACCCAAGGACGGTGTTTGCTATCATGCCCCCAGATTTTATCTCCTCTACAGACTCTAAGCTTGTCATTATCACTGTGATTTTAAACTCCCTTACATTATATAATCACCATCATCAGAACTGCTTGGTGGTTCATGCAACAGTCCCTGAAGCTTTCCACAGAAATTCTGTACCATGCTTTATTTCTTCACTTCATTTGACCACACACTTTACCACAGAATCACTGTTCTACCATAAGGACCTGCTCTACCATTCCAAATGCAACTCTAGGAGCAACACATTATGCTACTTATCTTTTTTTCCACCAAGCCTTAAAATTGCTACTACATCAGCACCTTCATCTAAACCCAGCCTCATTTATGCATCACAGCTTTTATGCTTCAAGATCCAAACGTGTATTTCTACAAAAATTCTAGATTTAGATGCCTAGCCACAGATTTTTTGTGTAGGATGTTCTTCATTCCTTCCTACCTGAACTTTGATAGTTCTCCTATCATTTCATCCAAGACTTTTAATAGATTTGCAACTAAGTAGGTCATCCTAAATTGCACGTTTTATTGCACCTGGGTTTATTCCCTCCTCAGAATTAAAATTTTATGTTAGGAAATACCTTTTTCTACAAGTAATCCAGCTGGGGTTTGGTTATTCACACCACAGGATAAATGCACATCATTTGTAGTCTTACTTTTATTTATACAATGTACAGTTAGTTATGTACGTATCCTAAAAGCCTATTCAAAAGCATTTCAGAATTTTAATACAGCACATTTTCCTTTGCTTTTGAAAGACTGGCAATGTAGCCTGCTAGTTAATTACTTACATAGAGCATTTTTCTGCTAGAGTTTGGAGGCTTTTGGACCTTTATTATTTACTATAACTTCTCCTCCATAGACTAATCAGCCATTTTTCAGAATACATACATAACCAAAGCATTAAAATCTGCTATTTAATTTTGTTGCTCAGTCAATTCTCTGTTACCACACTTGTAAAAGGCACCTCTGAGTAATGATCTCTTTGCTCGAACAATTATGCTTATTAGCTGTAAATAATTTAATTGATATCCATCATATATCAAAGCTTTCAAACTCTATAGCTGTTTAGGAGACCTGTGCAGGACAGCTATAAAAACTGCAGAACCCAAATTTTTAGAGCAAGAGACATTACTACACACCAAATAATATTTCAGAGTACCAACTCTTGAAAATAACTAGCACTCTTCCCTCAAATATTCCTACTTTTCTTACCTTTGTTTCCCTGGACCAGCCAAACTAGCCTTTTATTCTTTACATTTTATCCAATCTACTGCACACAACTCAAATTCAAAATTTTAATGTGCTACACATTTTCATGTTTGAATTGACTAACTACGTGTTGATGTTCTCAAGATAAAGCTGAAAACTTTGACAGCTGGCAAGGGGGCAGTTGGGTTTTCTGTTGCTCAGGAAGGTGTGGGAGGTGTTGGAATGTAGCTAGGAATACATGAATTTTGTGGTAACGAGGGTGTCTACTTTTCACTACTCTTTTTGTGCAGGACAGAGCAGTTGGACCTTTTGGGGAGCGAGGTTAATACCATTTACTCTCCACCCCTGACAGCAGCTGAGAACCGCATAGGAAGAGGACTCAGCAGCTGATGTGATGTGCAAGAAATGCTTTTGACACTGTCAATTCAGGTTGCCATCTGACTTGTCACATTGCTCAATGCTGATCACAGTTTGAAGACTGGGTTTTTAACTACTGGTCTAGAGGTGTCCACTTAACTTTTGATAGCACTGGCTGATGCACTGCGTCACTGCAGAACCGTCAGATGATCAGAGCTGGATCATTCTGACAGAGGGTGGAAACATGCCATGTCACTCAGCAAAAAAGATGTGGGCTGAGAAGGAAATGATACTTGTAAGCAGGCAGTTCAGGATGTAGTGGGTAAAAGAAAGCTCAGAACTGAAAGTTCAAGAGAAGCACATCCTCATGCATTCAGTGACACACACCACGCTTCCTCTTCCAAATTTATGATACAGCAGATACGGACGAGCGCATGACTTTTTTTTAAACAGAAATTTACTTTCTATGTTTTACACAGCACAAACACAGCCTGACATCCAACACTGCTTTAGATGGGTCAGTAAGTATATAAAGTCCTTGAAAACCAGCAGTTTTCATCTTTCACAGAGTCCTCTGACTCTGTAACAAGGAAATTACCAAACAATTATGGTAAAAGACAGATGGGCAGCAAGCCTCAGGACCTATCACCTTCAAACAGCATCCAGGCTATATATAATGCACATTTTTCATCCCTTACAGTTCAACAAGATTTCTTTCAGAGGCTTAGACTACTCCACCCCTGAAGCTATTGTGATGATAAATAACCTATAACTGAAACAAGAAGTTTTCTCTGTCAAGTTTATAAGTTCTAACAACTAAAGAGAGACACCAATATAGTATCTTGAATACTGGTGATTGCAGTGAAGGGAAGACATTCTGACCCTTACTTAGCTAAGTGCTTGTATGCAGGAAAAAACCTCGCTTTTACACAGCTTTGTTGAAGCAAAAGAAGTTCCTTTACAGCACACTGTGCTAACCCAGCAGCAACACCTCTACACCCTTCACAATGCACACACAAGCCAGACGTTTCTTTAGCTGGGAGATGACAAAGGATATAATGAGAGCACCTCTCATTCCTTCACATCACAGAGAAGACCCACTGTTCAAGGTTACTCTTGCAAAGCTGAGCTCTGACCTCTTACAGCTTCAGCCCTGTTGTCACACTTCTACTGAAGGACAAAAACATACTACACATTCATGCAGCTTAAAGTAACAGGGTGGCCCTGTATCACATGCCCAAAGCAAGAGCACATTCAGAGATTTGTGACTTCCTTGGTACTCCTGCACAGCGAGAGACTCACTCCTTAGTTCAGACAACAGAGACTTCTGCACTGACACGGCAGCACCTGGCAACTCTACCTCCAGATGACACAGTGTGGTTCTACTTGACAGCTCTTTCTTGTAACCACAGACTGCAGTGGTTACTACATTCAGACAAAAAAAAATTAACACAGTTTCCTCGCTGTTGCCAAAAAAGCAGGGTAAGTCCTACCTGTACATAATGAATATCACCTTGTACCGACTTGTTTACAGCAAAGGACAACCTTTTTTTCACCCTACCAAGTATTTCTCTGAAGGAAGAAAGAAATAATTTTTTGCAGATTATTAATTTTGCAGGAAATTCAACTGGATATCCCCTAGAGGAGATTTATGTGAACACACCATGCAATCTCACAGGAAATGTTTGACTACAAATCCATCTGACTCAGAAATATTGGTAAGCACCAGGGAACAGAACAAACTCCTCTTCACTTTCACGTTACTTTAAAAAAAAAATCATTAGGATGTCCAACTGAATTAAAACCTGAATTCAAACACTAAAGAAATGTGGCAGCAAGCCTTCCCTGCTGTCAGACAGGCAACAACAGACTATCCATGAGTTCAACACAGCCATACTATTCTCTGGGGAGCCCCTGGTGCAGAAAGGAGGTCTGAGCACTTTGTGGGCAGACATGAGGCCATGGCAACAGAAGCACATGGAAGTGGGTGGTCAGGGGCAGCCAAGTGCTTCTTAGAGGCTTAATTCCCTACACCATTTGGAAACTTCTTGTGTCTGAGCAGGGCAGTGTGCCGCTGATAATTTAGCTGCAGAGCAGATTCTCTTAAAGATACACAAAACACAGTTACCCCTGGGGGGCATAAACATAACATATCTACAGCTTGAACTAGGTGGAGTTCAGGTTTTTTCTGTTCATATGTCTTTCCCACATTGGTCCAAAGGCAACTCTCTCAGTCAGAAGTGAGTAAAACTCTTCATCATTACTGAAGAGTGTACTGGAATGTCAATCTGAAGCCATATGGTAAATACTTTGAAATTATAAATGCTGATAAGAATAAATCCTTAAACTTGCTTGGAAAATTATCCATGTTGATGCTTTCAGTTCTGTGCAGTATCCCTCTCAACCTAAATGTAATATTTTCGTTACAATTATTAAACATTAGAAGTATACAGAGCAACTACTTTATTCCCTTTCATTTAAATATTCCTTTTTCCGCTATCCTGTGAAACTAAGTTGGTAAAAGCATGAAGAGTTTTCTCCCACACTGATGTCACAAACATCTCTGCTGTCCTACATTATTATAAAAAGAAAACCTCATATGCCACCATAAAAGAATAAATTCAGCATCACACAAAACTACACTTCTCAAAGTCCTTACTCAAGAGTTCAAAGTATATTTACTTTAGATCTCTAAAAATATTTTCAACTATGGAAACTGCAGAGGATTAGAAATTTCAGATTTGCTATGCTTTTTGACCCCCCATCACTTCCTTCCCACCTTACTAGAAAGTCTATTTAGGTTTTGTTTTTAATTACCCTTTCATCTTTAATAACTCAAATTCACTTACCAATAAAAGTGATGAAGAAATTCAGTATTGCATAGTATATAATATATATGATATAATATATAACAAATATTTATTGCACAAAAGCAAAATGTTTATTGATCACAGACTCATGCTATAAATACACTTTGTCACACTTCAAAGAAATAAAAATACAAACAAAAGTGGAAAGAATTATAAGAAATTTCATCTTCTGATAATCAAAAGAGAAAGGCTTCAGTTAAAAAAGCTGATGGTCATGAAAATAAAAGTTAGTGGAAAAAAATGTTGCACCTAAATTCCAGTTTAAGGAATTTATACTCAGCAGTCAAATTACACAGCTGGTATAAATCTACTGGCTTCTGAGTTGGAAATCATGCAGTGAGCTAAACGTCTCTCCTTTTTTTCACATGCTAAACCATAATTTTAAGAAATAATTATTTAACAAATATGTCTGGAAGACAGTTTGGTACTAAAGACTCCATTTTAGCTGAATGGCTTTTAAGACACCATACAATAAAACCAATACTTCCCCCTTCTCTTACCCAGTATATCCAGCTGCCGTAGGTGCGTGCAGTTGGCAGCGAGCTCCTCGATGTCAGTGTCACACACAGACCTGTTGGCCGTAAGGAAGAGCTTCTGCAGGTTGGGCAGTTTGCGTGCAAGGTTTGTGAAGCAGCCTGTGCTGCTCTGGAGCGTAGGACACCAACCAAGGTCAAGCTCTTCCAAAAGCTGGCAGCCCGAAGCCAACTCGGCGATCCCGCTTTCTGTTATGTTTTTACATCTCCACAAATCCAGACTGCGAAGCTTTTTGCATTTTGCTCCCATCATGCTTGCTATAAGGTCATAGTCTTCAATCTGCAAGGAAAGCAGACGCTCTGTCATGTGCAGCATCGTTCCAGACATACAGAGGTGTTTCAAGGTTTGCTTCCTAACACATAACACATCTGGCTCAAGCATTTGTCATTTCTAAAAATCGTTCATTGCGTGGTACAGTGAGATCTACTTTTATAAACGACAAAAATAAAATTAAATTCTTATAAACCCCAGACTCAGCTGTTTTTAAATTCACTTAATACTGAGGATCAAACCGCAGCAAAAGTTGTTTCTTTGAAGAAACTTTTTTTGCGCAGTTGTTTTCCCCTTTAAAGATGATTATAACAGCTTTTATGACCACAGGAAGTGCAACTACTGAAGAATGATTGAAGTACTAATTTCCATTTTAAGTTGATCAGTTGCTGCATCTCCTTACGAAAGTCTTATTAATTACTTGTTAAGTGATTACACATATAGAGAATGTCCAAAAACTTAGAAAAAGGCTGAAGAACTCTGAGAAAGCCTAGAAGCCATTTTAGGCCTACTTAGCTTTACTTTAGTACATAACCCTTACATATATGACCAAGAGGCATCATCTTGGACCTTCCAAAAGAGTAGAGTCTTGTATAAACCTCACATTTAACACAGCTTTGTGAAACAAACCCAGATTGGTTCCAAAGCGAGTGCACAGACACACACACAGAGACACACACAGAGACACACACAGAGACACACACACACACAGACACACACACACAGACACACACACACACAGATACACACACACACAGATACACACACACACAGATACACACACACACAGATACACACACACACATACAGACACAGACAGACACAGACACACACACACAGACACACACAATCCCCCCACACTCTGAATGGTCACTCACCATGACACAGCTGCCCAGGCTGAGGTGCTGCAGCTCCGAGCAGAAGTTCAAGATACTGAGCAGGGCTGTTTGCTGCCACGGGGGAACACATCAGAAGGAAATACAGAAAGTGAAACAAAGAGAAGAGGTCAATTAGACATTAAAGGCTGTCACCACATTTCTTGAAATACAGCTCAAAACTCTTTCACAGGTGCCTCAAATGCCACTTAATGAGTCTCTGGGTACTTTACCCATTGATTGGCTTACAGAAATGGTAATCGTTACAAACCTTTATGCAAGTCCTCTGGATGCGCTTGTGTGCTGCCCTGAAGACACCCACACCCCACTGACCTATCTGCTCATGTCCCCCAGGAGAGCTGGTGAAGAGTGCAGCAAGATCAAATAACAGGCAAGACCAGCCTGCAAACAGAGGGCTGGCCACACACCAGGAGAAGAGGGCAGGCTCTGACATTCTCCCATCAGCTGCAGCCTGATGGAGCTGCCAATAGAGCGGCACAGCACCAGGGCTGGGCTGGCGACTTCAATGTCAAAGGCGGCTCCGTGCTGACAAGGATGCTGACAGCCACTGAGCACTTGTCACTACTGTCACGCTGACTGAAACAGATACAATGGGTATTTTACACTCCTGTTCCTGCCATTTAAGGCTGCCATTCTTTGCAGAAAGTACTGCACATTGCTCAACCTGAAACCGACTGCAACATCAAATGCACCTTACAAAAGTGCACAGCTGGTCTGTTCCACAGAGGAAACTTTTACAGATTTTTTTACCTGTGTTTCTAAGATACAAAAAAGATCCTTCTGCATTGTCTGTAGACATATTTTGTTTTGTACTTGAAAATGCTCACAGTGTGAAAAAAAAAAGAATATAATCTGGGATTCACATCACAAATACTTGCGCATCATAATTAAAACATCACTTCATTAGGACTTAGTGATCTACATGGGCTTTAAAACAGGACTAGACCTCACAGCCTAGTTAACAACAAGAATATGAGCATTTCTACAGGATATACAACAGTTTCTAATAGGAAAAAATCCAGGCAATATTCAAGTGACAAAGTAATCTACTGCTATTAACTGTAATTACAACAAGAACACTAATCAACAATGTTCGTATGCAGGGGTAGTATAATTTATAGTTTCTTTAAATATAAATTTTCTTGTTTTCAGAAAGTTTATTGTAAAATGCTTTAGTTAATTTCCTCCATTACATTCCAATGGAACTTGGCAGAAAGATGATCCTTTGCCATACCACCAAGAAGAAACAACTGATTCCTGGAAAGACTGGCAGACACAGAAGAGGGACATAGCATGGGGCATTCACAGAGACATTTCAGACATTTAATTTAGGTGTCTCCAAGGAGCAATTATAAATACCCAACACTTGACATGCTGAATCTTGATTCCAGCTTGGCCCTCTAAGATTTGATTTCCCAAAGGCAGCCTAAAAGTAGATGTTAAGAGTAAGCCTTCCTCACATATATCTTGGTAGAAGTCCTACAAAGTCACTGTCCCTTGCTTGCTTGACTTTCATTCACTTTTTAAAGGAAAAGGTAGCTAGAGAATGGAATGCAAGCATTAAAAAGTCATTATTCAAGAGGTTATTAATAATATTTTAAGGTTGGTAAATGTGTAAATATCGAATTCATTTTAAATTGAACAGTTAAAAAGCAAATGGCTGATCTGGATCATGAAAGAGGAATAAACAAATAACTCAAAGAGAATGAGACACAGCCTTTCCTATTCAACCCAGTGAAAGCTATGAGCTTCAGAACCTACTCAGATGCACAAATTAAAAGCAAAATCCCCAAACCCCTGTCTCCAAAAATATTGGAGCTAAACAAATCAGCCTCTATCTGCACACAGAGCTCCAAACAAGGTTTCTGCAGGTATTCAGATGTCTCCACAGGAAAGCTGAATATATTGCTGCATTCTACCAAGTCTTTCAGTAATGGTTTCCAGATTGGAATTTAAACACTGGCCTTAAAGGATGGGAAACAGCAATCTCTTTCCTTACTTGACACAAACAGTACAAAAGTGAACTGTGACTCAACAGCTGGTAGGATGTGAGATCAATTCCATGCCTCTTCTGAGAGGGGTGAAATAGAGAGGAGGACTACCATTCATAGTTATCTTGATAGATAATTGAGCTCCATGTGTTAGCTTCAACAGGAATGTCATGGATCTCCCAGAGTACCTTTTTAGTCCCTCTCTTTTTCAAGACAGTCCTTCCTGTACTGCCATGCACTGAGGCTACATTTTCAAAGGTCTTTTCACAATCTATTACTTTAAACTATTATTTAAAAAACAAAAACAACTTTGGAAAAAAGCACTAGAAATCTGAGTAATAGAAGGGAGCTTGGTAGAACACCATGTCATACCATCACAAATCATGCCAAGTCAAGCCCAAGAGTAAACAACCACATACTCAACATTCATTTCACTGGCTATATTAATTCCTCTTCTAGGGCTCACACATGCCCACACACAGCAAACCAGATTTCCTTCAGACACAGTGTCTGTTCTTCTGTAACTGAGGTGGGCTTTGCATATGTCATGCAAGAAGAAAAAACCCTTTGTGCATGCCTAGCTGTGTCTCAGTCAGTTGAGAATCCAGGTGGCAAAAGACATGAAAATAGCAGAGAGAATGGCAGCTCACAGAATCCATATGCACCCCACATAGGAGGATGATCATTGTAATAACCTGTCTGTGTCAAGCCATCTGTCAGTACCACAACATGAGCGACACCACTCCTACAGCAGCGAAGGAGAACAGCCAGGCAGTCACCCCATCCTGGAGCTCCAACAGGCCAACTTCCCAACGTCAGAGTGCTTCACAAGAGGAGCCTGAACCCGGAGTCTAACTTCACTTTCTTGGCCAAGCAGAGACATTCAAATCAAAGACTATCCATCTAACAACATTCTTCAGCCTGGCAGCCAAGACATTTATAGTTTGGAGATTTCTTGAGTTTTCCCTGAAACAAAGGCAAAGTTTAGCTTTGTACCTGCTCCCTTCTAAAGGGATTGAGAGAGAGTGGATGATTATAAAAACCCACAAAAAAAAACACTCTAGAAACAAACTTCAGATAAGATTTACTTTTGTTAAATGGAATCATGGCATCAGTGGTCTAAATTTCTTTTGCGATCCAAGCAAAACAAAATCTACCAAAATAATCAATTTTTATAAAATGCCACAGACAACAGAAAAAGTTCAAAGTGAGTGAATAAAATGGTCTGCTCTATCCTCCATTCCCAGGAAAGAGGTTTTTAGATGAGGAAAACAGAGTGAAGAAGTTGTTTTCAGAGAGAAGACTGTGATGTCAAACTGATCGGAAAGATATGACAGTGCTGCTAAACACAACCTTACAGAGCATATTTCAGAAATATTTTAAGGCATAATAGTTAGTCATAAACCTCAGAAAAGGGGAAGATGGCCTGAAGCTTCTCTGAAATCTTTATATATAGGTACAACAAATGTCTCTCAGAAAGGACATCAACACAGCTGATCCTGGCTTGAACAGGAGATGAGATTACCATTTGAAATCCTACTTTTCTCCACACAGGACAGGTGACAGGTCTGTCCAAACATCAAAGTCCTTCCTCCACCCTGTAATACACACCTGGATACACACAATAATACTTACTGTGTTCTGTGCTGTGTGCATACTTTCATATAAACAGGTGGTATTGGACTGAATTGCCTCCTACCTGTCTTTGTAAAGGCCTTGGCCATCACAAAAGGTTTGACTTCGATGTTGTAAAAGTACTGCTGGTTTGAACAGATACCCCCAGCACAAAAACCAAACACTGGTGCCAGAGCAATACACATGGCAAGACTGACTCTTGCTTGGCTTTTTCAGTTTGGTTTTTTTTTCATTCATGATCCAGCAGAAAGCACAAATAATTTCTGATGTTCGTATGATAAAGAAAGCATCCAACAAATAGCCTGAGCTCAATGTCTGTTCAAACAGAAAACCCTTCTGTCTGTGACTCACCTGTGAAAGATGCACTTAGAACATTTAACTATTTACTCATTTACTTTGCAGTTTCATTGTCAAGTAGTTAGAGATTAAAAAATATAAAAAGGATTAAAAAATACAAATGATGCACTATAATATGGCTATCACATAACAACTCCACTACCATGCTACAAGGCATAAGTGCACCACAGTGTGACTCTGGAAGATTAAAGGAAGAGCTTAAGAAAAACAACATTTTGCTTTGGGTTAGAGAAGAAATAGTCTGCAGCTTTTAATTAACTTTCTATAGACAAATCTTGCAAGATGCTTTTAAATTTGTAACTGTTTTACTGGAGACAAACAACAGGTTGTTTCTTCTCCTTCTCAGAAGAACCATGTCTGACATAAATTAGGAATTCTTCCAGTCCCTCAATAAAACAAGAGTCTAAGTCTTTTAAAATACTTTCATTCTTCTGCAATTGTTTCTTCAAATTTTCCAGTGACGTTATTGCTAAGACAAAGGAATCTAAAAATTATCTTTAGATTATTAAAGACTGCTTCCTCCCTTCCCTTGCTTGCTATGTTTTTAATCAGAGTTACTAATTCTCCAGTTGACCTTTTTCTTGAAGAAAAAGTTGGATTATATAGGATTTAATTTTGTATTTTTAACATTAAAAATCCAAGTTTGTAGTAGAAAATACTTCCCTCAATAGCCAGCTCCACAATCCTACCTCAATGAGGAGGGGTAAATGTGGTAAAGAGGAGGTAACTCTGCAGGGTGCTCTAAGTACTCTGTCTTCCTAAAACTATCAAAGTCAATGACTTTTCAATGAATTTCTTGAAATTCTTGGAACCCGAGATACTGAAAAAAAGAAGAACTGGAGAACTGTGAAGGCCAAGCCAATGAAATCTGTGTCTCTCTCAAGCCCACCAATCACATCCATAATTCTCAGAAGCTGATTCCTTAGTAGAAAAATCAAAATATTCTTAGAACTGCACAGAAAGGCTCCTCTGTTCATGATCTGAGCAGAAGCTTCCCAAGCAGCAGCTTTTGTTCCCAAAAGGTTTAAATTTACAGCAAGGGATGCTGGAATTGGCTGACTCAGCCAGACA